ATAATAATAATAATAATAATAATAATAATAATAATAATAATAATAATAATAATAATAATAATAATAATAATAATAATAATAATAATAATAATAATAATAATAATAATAATAATAATAATAATAATAATAATAATAATAATAACTAATAATAATAATAATAATAATAATAATAATAATAATAATAATAATAATAATAATAATAATAATAATAATAATAATAATAATAATAATAATAATAATAATAATAATAATAATAATAATAATAATAATAATAATAATAATAATAATAATAATTTCATCTAAAATATGGCTTCTTGATCTGGATGATTTCCTTCAGATGAATTTGCAAACGTTAAATCACCAAGTTCTTCATCCTCGTCTTTAGAGGAGGAAAAAACATGTTTCTCTTACTTAGTATGGAGAAATAAACTCAAGAAATGATTAATTTTACTCTAGGTAATAGTTTTAGCATATGACGAACAACCACATAAGCGACAATATATCTGTCGTGATCTCGAAGAAAGTCATAAACTATTATGGAAAAATTATTTTTCTGGAAATTGTATTTTTCCGTTTTCTTATTTCGCATGCGTTTTAGGATTCGCAGGGAGCTGTTTCTACATATTCAGAATAATCTTGAATATCATCACACATACTTGATCCGAAAGAGAGATGGACGTGTTTGTCTTACCTTATCATATATTCAAAAAATAAATGTTGCACTTCGAATTCTTACTTATGGAGCATCTGCTAATTATTGTGATGAATATTTGAAGATCAAGGAGGCAACTGCTATCACAAATTTAAAAGAGTTTTGTGAAAATGTATTGTGGCATTTCTTTGGCATGAAAATGTATTGTGGCATTTCTTTTAATAAAAGTGATGAATATGAGAGATATATGTACAGCAAATCAATAGGAATTCAGATTGTTATTCATCTTGAGAAAAAAATTTGTAACATCGATCTCTTACTTCATTAGACTTAAAATTAATATCATTTAAGAAAAATAAAAGAACAGAACAAAATAAATATTTCGTGTATTATGTTTTATACTGCAATCGATATTATTAACATTAAAATATAAGTTATTTTTTATCATATCGATGAATCTAAATGTAACATTTCTCTTACTATTAATTTAAAACTAAGGAAATTTAAGAGTGCAATCCTTTGAAAAAATAATATAATCAAACTATAATAGAATTAAACATTAGTTAACAAAAAAGAAAAAAAAAGAGAGAGAATATGAAGACGTAACACAAAAAAATAGCACACACTTCAAGGGAGGAGAATAAAACAAGGAACATGGGCCCATGTTACCTCTCCTAATCATTTCCTAATTGTGGGATGTTGCATAGGGGCTCCAAGTCTAAGTGGCAACTTTTGGGGCAAAAAACAAACCCTCTAGAGAACATCCAATTCCAACTTTTTAAGGATTCTAACAAGAGAGTGGAAATTGGAGTGTCATTACAGATGCTATTAAGGATGTCTTGGGACCTTCTCCCTCTAGCTATTTTTTATGTCATCTATAGAGGAACGAAAGCATGTCTTGGAGATCTTCTTCCTCTAGCTATCTTTCAAGCCTTCATAAAATGCTTCTTGGGCCTCCAATCCAACCAATTCGTCCATGCTTCCATCTGTATCACTCCATGGGCCCATTTTCTAGGGAGCTCGGCCCAAACTTGCCAAATTGTATCATCTAGTCTCTAATATTCTCTGGTAAAACTAGCGAAGTGGTTCACCGGAGAATAATAACAAGTTAGGTAGCTATCGCCTTTCAATTGTCGAACAAAAATGACAGTTTGGTCAAGAGTATCATGCGAAACCATCTCAACGAAGTATTGACCTTGAAACCAAGCGGTTTCCCTTAACACACCATCATCAGTACGCGTCTCTTAGGTAGCTATGTGCACTTCTCAACGTCACCCTGATCGGCTCATAACTGACAACAGATCTCGAATTCTTACTTTACTACTGACACGTGGCCCTAATTTCGAATACTCTAGAATGTAACACCAATGTGTCACCATCATACCCTTTAAAAAATGTTTCAATTTGACGGTCTAGAGTTTAAAACTATTTGTTTTCGCGCCTATTTATTTAATATATATATATATATATATATATATATATATATATATATATATATATGTATATAATCATATTCTCTCCCCATCTCTATTTCTTTTTATGCCTTCTTCTCTTTCTCAAGAGCTTGTGATTTTGATTTCCGCCTTCCGCCGTCGTCTAGCCACCGCGTTCGAACCGTTGTTTTCCGTCGTTTTTCGTTACAAATTCAATCGTTTTTTAATCCAATCTAGGTATTACCAGTAACCTTTCACTATTTGCTTTCCTTTTTCCCCCCTGTTACGGCTTCCGGTTCTTCCTCGTTAGCACATACTGTTTCCTCTTTTCTTTCAAGGGAAGAAGAACATGCATGGTAATAGGTCACACGAATATCCATTAGATCATTCTCCATTAGATCGCCCCAAACGTAGGTTAGCATTAGTGGACGAGGATTTTGACCCTTCTAAGAACCCACTTGTCAATTTTAGCCCAGCGCGATCTGGTTATACCTCCTCTTCATGAGCCATCTCAAACCAAATCTCTCCCCATCATTCTTCTATCCCCCGACCTATAACTCAAAAAGTTATGAAGGGTAAGGGGAATAAATGGGAGGAAGATTGGGTACTAGAAAGCTCACTCGTAAAGATTAGCCATTTTGAGAAGTTCATGCAAGATATAGGGGTGCCCGCGGGGTTTACCATTGCGAGCCCGGGTGAACATGAGCGAGCTCATCTTCCTCTACATAACTATAGCACTTTTCATCTAGGGTAGTTTTACGCCGACCTCACTTTCCACATTCACCCTTTCTTTATAGCGGTCTTGCTTACGTATGTAAAAGTGTTTAAGAGATTCAATAAGATGTGGCTGGAAATATTCTTACTAGGGATGGCAATGGGGCGGGTATGGGGCGGGTTTTGCAATCCCCATCCCCGCCCCGCAATGGAAATCCCCATCCCCATCCCCATCAAAAATCCCCACGGGTATTAAAAGAATCCCCATACCCGCCCCGTAAAATCCCCACGGGTATCGGGGCGGGTAAAAATCCCCGTCTATTTTTATTTTTTTTTTAATAAATAAATATGCACTTTACTTATAATTTAAAGGTTTATTTCAACAAATAAATCATTATTTAATTATAATACTAATATTTAATTATATAATGGAAACCTAAAAATCCCCATTTTTAACTAATATTTAATATATTACTACTATTTAATTATTTATATTTAATATTATAATTAAAAAATATATATTATATATATAAATAATGCGGGGCGGGTACGGGGACGGGTACGGGGCGGGTCTACGGGGCGGGTATAGGCAAACCCATCCCCGTACCCGTACCCGGTAAAAAAAAAAATTCAATCCCCATACCCGCCCCATTTTTTTTCGGGGCGGGTAATACCCGAAAATTTCGGAGCGGGGCGGGGCGGGGATCCGTCGGGGCGGGTCAAATTGCCATCCCTAATTCTTACCAGTAAAGGGGGAGATGGTTTCAATATATAGATTAATTACAGAAGAGTGATACTCTACAAAATAGGAAAAAATATATTTAAGTATATCTACAACTAAATCAATGGGATATTAAGGATCCAAATTGATTTTCTCTAGAATCATGAAGAATTTTCGATTCTCCCTTATCACCTTCCTGCAAGGTGAGCGTGGCTGAAGGTAGAACGCTGAGCTTGCCGCGAAAGAGAATGAATTGCAGCTTGGAAACGTCTTTGGTGAAGGAGTCAGCAAGTTGCAAATGTGAGGGAACAAAGTTAATTTTCAGAGTGCCACTAGCAACCAGTTCCTGTCCAAAGTGATAATCGATAGCAATATGTTTCGATCGAGGCCGAGTAATTGGATTGACTGCCATAAAGATTGCACTTTGATTGTCACAAAGAAGTTTAGGTGGCGCCGCGAGTGTAACACGAAGATCCCAAAGCAATTGAGTAACCCAAACAATATCGGCAGCGGCGACAGCCAATGAACGATATTCAGCTTCGGCACTTGAACGAGAGACACTATTTTTTTTCTTAGAGGACCAAGATATTAGATTGGCACCAAAAAAGATAGCATAGCCCTTCGTTGATCGCCGTGTATCGGGACATCCAGCCCAATCCGCATCAGAGTAGGCAAGAAGCTCTCGAGTGGATTGTTTATGAAGTTGAAGTCCATGATGAGGAGTGCCTTTAACATAGTGTAAAGTACGTTTAAGAGCACGAAAGTGGTCCTCGGTAGGCGCATGCATGAATAGACATATGGAATTCACACTAAATGAGAGATCAAGCCTGGTAATGGTCAAGTATTCAAGAGCACCGGCAAGAGAGCGAAACAATGTAGGATCTGGAAATAATTTTCCTTCGGCTGAGAGATGTCAACCGACAACAAAGGGTGTAGAGATAGGGTTTGCATCAATCAACGAAGCACGCTGTAAGAGATCAAGAGCATACTTTGGTTTGACTGGGAATAAACCTTTGTCATGAGATTGAACTTCAACACCGAGAAAATAATGAAGATCACCCAAATCCTTCATTGAGAATTCCTTGGAGAGCCGAGAAATGAGGTTTTGAACCAAGGAAGGATTACTGCCAGTAATAACCATATCGTCGACATAAAGAAGGAGATAAATCGTTCCAAGTGAGGAGTGGTAAACAAACAATGAGGAGTCCGCCTAACTCGAGATAAAACCAAGGGTAATCCTAAAGGAGCTGAACCGATGAAACCAAGCTCGAGGAGCATGTTTCAAACCATAAAGAGCTCGCTTCAGGCAACAAACATGCTGAGGGAATTGTGGATCGATGTATCTCGGAGGTTGTTCCATATACACTTCTTCATTCAAAAAACCATGAAGAAATGCATTTTTAACATCTAACTGGTGTAAACGCCATCCAAGCGTAACGGCCAACGACAAAATAAGTCGAACAGTGGCAGGACGCACAACAGGGCTAAAAGTATGTCCAAACTCAAGACCGTGAATCTGAGAAAACCCTTGAGCGACCAAACGGGCCTTGTGGCGCTCAATAGACCCATCTGAGTGGAGTTTGGTTTTGAAAATCCAACGACATCCAACAACATTATGATTTTGTGGACGAGGGACAAGAATCCATGTATCATTGTTCTTCAAAGCTTGAATTTCATCATCCATAGCCGAGAGCCATTCAGGGTGTTTTGCTGCTGATTAAAACCCGTAGGCTCTTTAAGAGCAAGAAGAGCCTGAAAAACCTAAGACGAAGACACAACATTCATAGCATGATATAGTCGTGGTTTGAATATACCAGCTTTACCTCTAGTAATCATTGGATGGCTGGAAGTGGTCACTTGAGGAGGCGGATGAATAGGTGGTGAAGGGGCTGCTAAATTCGATAAATTATCAACATGAGTAGAAGTATCTGAATTTGGGGAACTATCCGATGATATAGGATGCAGAGAATCACTACAAGGCAAACATGGTGAAATGGAAATCGAAGGTGAAGAATCAACATTTGAAGAAGTAGAGACGCAATCATGACATTCTGAAAATTGAGTGTAATCAATATCAGTTTGCAGGTCATGCGTAGAGTCATCGTGATAAGGGAATTTATGCTCATAAAAGAGCACATGTCGAGAAATATAAACACGATTTTTCTTGCGATCTAGACACCTATACCCTTTATGAAGAGTACTATAACCTAGGAAAACACAAGGAGTGGATTTCAGAGATAATTTATTAGGCGAGTAGTCACGCAAATAGGGAAAACAAAGACAACAAAAGGTGCGCAACATAGAGTACGGTGACTTACCAAACATGAGCTCGTAAGGAGTTTTGCCATCAAGAGACGGTGATGGAAGTCGGTTAATGAGAAAAAAACAGCAGTGGAGAAAGATTCAACCCATAAAGAGAGCGGTACATTGGCATGAAACATAAGGGTTAGGCCAGTTTCGGTCACATGACGGTGTTTGCGTTATGCAATACCATTTTGACTAGGAGTGTAAGGGCAAGACAAACGAATCACAATACCACAAGAGTGCAAATGAGAGCGACATTTATTATTTGTAAACTCGGTTCCACCATCACACTTAAAGGATTTAATTTTGGTGGAAAATTGTGTCTCAATATATTTTTGTAAGCGAACGAAAGTTTCAAAAAATTCAGATTTTTGTTTCAGTGGGAATATCCAACTAAATCTGGTACAATCATCAATAAAAAATGGCATTATATCTATATCCAGTAAAATAAAGAACAGGCGAAGGACCCCATAAGTCGCAATGTAAATGATCAAAAGGCATGGCACAACGTTCATCATTAAGAGAAAAAGGTAAACGATGGCTTTTCCCAAGTCTACAACACAAACGTTGGAATCGTTACTCACGAGTTTATTACTGCAAGAAATAGATCATAATCTAGAAAGAGATGCAACAATGCGATAATTGGGATGACCTAGACGAGAATGCCACAAATGAACAGAAGCTCGTGGTGAAGAAGTTGTGGTAGACAAAAAGGCATGATGTCGTTGTTCCAAAATATAGAGACCATGTTCACATCTTCCGACTCCCAATACGGTTCTTGTGACCCGAAAAATAACAAAACAATTATTTTCTTTAGTAAGTTCACTGATGGAAATAAGTTTTTGTTAATGCCAGGAACAACTAAGATGTTAGATAGGAGAAGGGGACTAGACGGAACAAGAGATGAAATGGAACCGGTATGAGAGATAGCTAAAGACTGACCATTTCCAACCGTAACACGTTCATTACCAGAGTAGGTAGCTGATTGATCCAAACCGTCGACGTGACTTGTCATATGAGATGTTGCGCCCGAGTCTGGGAACCATTCAGAGTCGTTTATATCTTGAAGCGAACATGCGGACAATGCTTCAGCAAGATTAGCCGATTGTTTCTTCTTAGTTTTCAAGAATGTCCAACAACGTTTAGCTGTATGCCCATCTTTGTCACACAACTGAGAGTGAATCGGAGAAGTGGATGACTTTGGATTAGCACCGTGTGTCGAGAAAGAGAAATTTCGAGGTTTTCCTCATTTCGCTCAGCCCATTTTCGGAACCTGGTGCACATAATAAGAAGAATTGGAAACCGAGTGAGAAATAGATCTTTCGAAAATTTCATGACTCAAAGCTCTTGGAACAATCTCAACAAAAGAGGGAATCGGATGCATGGACATCATAGTGGTTGAAAATATCTTGTAGTCAGATCCTAATGCTCGTAGAAACCAGTGGACTTTGTCGGTGTCATCAATGGGACGTCCAATGGAAGTCAATTGATCACAAAGACCTTTGAATGTGCGGCAAAACTCAGCAATGGGGTGAGAGCCGTGTTTCATCAATTGGAGTTCGTCCTTGAGTTGCAATTCACGGGTTTTTGATCGATTAGAGTAAGAGACTTCAAGAGCACACCAAGCCTCACGGGAGTGACGTAAACCCAGTACCTCACTCATAGACTCTTCTGTAAAGGAAGAGTAGAGTAAACTGAGTAACATCTGATCAGTGAGTAGCCAAGAAGTATATGCTGGATTGGTTGTTATAGTGCCGTCAGACGCAGTAGTCGTATGCGAGGGAGCTGCAACGGTATCATCCAAAAACCCAAACAAATCTTGACTAGTTAAAAGAGCGCCAAACTGATTTTTCCACAATAAATAATTGGAGGAAGTCAGTTTTATGGTTAACATATGAACAATTGTATTAAGCGGAAGAGTGGGAGAGGATAAAGTTGAAGCAGCCATGGTGGAGTCAAAGAAAAAACCTTGACACTGATACCATAAAAGTGTTTAAGAGATACAATAAGATGTGGCTGGAAATCTCCTTACCAGTAAAGGGAGAGATGATTTCAATATATAGATTAATTACAGAAGAGTGATATCCTACAAAATAGGAAAAAATATATTTACGTATATCTACAACTAAATCAATGGGATATTAAGGATCCAAATTGATTTTCTCTAGAATTATGGAGAATCTTCGATTCTCCCTTATCAACAACCATGATATTGTTAGAGTAGGTGACCAACAAGCCAACTTGTGGCTGTGGTCTTTCATATTTATTATGGTAATAAACAAACCTTTTTCGTATTAATGATAAAACACCTTGGCATTCTATATCTTTGTCCCTTTGTTACAAGCATAGATATAGTCCTTACAGTTATTACAAGTACTACTAGTAATTGATCGTTAGGATCGTGAGATATTTACTATAGTATTATAACTGTTAAACGTGTTCCTAGTCGAAGGGTTACGCCACCAATGAGGATATCGTCCTTTCCCATTAAGAGACTAGCACTTAGTGTATGTGTATAGCATCTCATCAGTAAACGGTATTGTAATATCGGCATGCATAAGTGGGTGCTCGTAAGTTGACGAGTTCACTGAACTCCCTCACCCTAGAAATCTCTAAGTGGTTCCCAATAATCGAGTAGAGATATTTGTGGTATAGTTGTACACCTATAGTCCTTATGACCTAGACATCACCATGACTTCACTAGAGGACCAGTTGTATCGTGACCTGTCCCTGAGTTCCACCTAGGACCACCCCAAGGGCCAGTGTTCGTGCAGTCCGAAATCTAGTGGGAGGTCTGTGCATTGTAGTCGGGGATTCGAACGCTAGTCTTGGATGTCCTGTGTGTTCTTATAGTTTGTAATCTCTCTATGTCTCTGGCCAGAGCTGACTAAGTAATGATTAGAGAATTCGATTCTCTAAGTCATGCACGTAACGATTACAACACTTAGAACGATCGCACAGTCATTGAACTACTAAGGAGGTCTCGATGAACCAATGCCTCTAGTTCAATCGGGACATATGAATCGAAGGGATCGTACTGTACACTAACTATATCAAAAGGTTGTTGCAGACACTTCATTTGTATCTAGGGAATCATGACGCGTAGTTGCTAGACGCCAATCTTGATTCGTTGGGTGGTTAAGGTGAAACGAGCTTCATCTTAATCATAACTCTAAGGGAAGAGTTTTGACCACAAAGGGTTGCGGGCCCACGGCTAGCTTACACCTGAACCATCGAGGGTCACACTGCTCGTGCACATGAGATCTTTGAAAGAACGGTCAAAGGTAAAAATGTTTTATCTTTGCATGATTGGAAGTCAATATGATTGGGTCCAACATTCATAATTTGGAATTATGAATGAGAAAAGAAAAGGAAAATAATAGGCGAACATCTTAGTGGACTTTCTAAATCGGGAAGTTTCCAAATTTAGAAAGCACACTGATATAGGGTTTCCACTTTTAGAAAGTTGGAAATTGAGAATTGACACTCGTAATGACGAGGACTTTATAATAATTCCGAAAATGTAATTGTTACGATTTTCCGATCATCGAATTGAGAGAGACGAGCGAGTAAAAGAACTAACGAACTTAAGCTGTTGGGCCCGGTCCAACTTAAGCCCGTTAGGTGTTTTATACAAGACACTATAAATACTTGATTTATAGGTCTTGCACAAAAAAAGAAACACAACTCGCGCACAAAACCCTAGCCGCTCTCTCTCTCTCTCTCTCGGCCATCTTCTCAGTGGCCACCACCGCCGAGAAGAGGAAGATCAAATAATCGAGGAGCAGCCCCGAGCCGACGACGCACGCGCTCCCACGCGCCGCCCGAAGACAGTGCGTAAGCCACACGCGCCGCCGTAGCTCGCACCACCGCTGCTGCCGTTTCGCCGTTGCTGCCACGGATTGCACGGATTGGTTTCTGTGGCAATCTAGCTTCGTTTCGTGCGCCTACCTCACACTTCAAGAGGTAAAGTTTCGAATCCGTGTTTATTCGATTCGTTTTTATTTAAATTAAATATGCATGTTCGTTAGTAAGCAAACTTGTATGATTTTATGTGACTACATGAAATTGTTTTATTTACTACGAGCATGATTATTTGATTTAAACGCGAGCATGCTATTTGATTTAATTTCGATTAAGTTATTAAGCATGTATGTTGTTTTTAATTTCGCTGGAAGCGCAAAGGTACGCAATTAATTGTTTTCAATTATCGGGCATGTGTTTATGTGTTTTAAATTTGTTTAAATCGCATAAAATTTTTGTTTTCCGCTGCGTACACGTGTCTGATTCCCAACATATATATATATATGCTCAACAAATAAAACATTCTACCCGAATTTGGTCAAAAGGATAAAATAAGGATAAAATAGTCAATTCCGGTCAAAAGGATAAAATAAGAAAATTCACTTAATAGTTTTGATGAATACATAAACTTTCATGCAAAAATTGGGGTACGGATGAAGTAAAACCATCTATGGAAAGTGTTGAGAGAATTTTTGAACTAAAGGGAATCAGTCTGTAATTTCACCATCTAACACACATCCAAGTGAACTTAACAATTTTTCTTATTCAACATTTATTAATATACAGAATAGTTAGAAGTGTATAACTACAATTAACTTGGAGAGATTAACTAACAACTCAAAAGAATTGAGAATTTTTTTTACTAAACATTTGCGTTGATAGCATAGGATACTCTTGATCTCCTACAACCAAATATTGCAGCCCTGAATAATCAATCACCATTGTTCCATCTTCACTAGCTCTACTAAATTGCTCACATGGATTTATTTCAAATTCAACATTAGCCTTTTCGTCTGCATTCAACTTCACTGTCTGAAATCCAACCAACTGTTTCACGGGACTACCTTTAACAACTTCATCCCGTCTTAGAAATAATAGAACCGGATGCTTACCGGCCATACGCCCTTCATTTTTAACACTGACAATGACTAGAAACTTTGCCCTCTCACATGATTCTGAGCCAATTTTCGAAACTAAAATATTGCCCAATTTTTCACAAACAGTAACAAATTTATAAGAATAGTTTGAGTAGCTAAGACCATAGCCAAATTCATAAACCTTTTTGCCTTGATAAAATTTGTATGTTCGTCCGGGATATCCGGACGAAGGATCGGACCTCATTCTCATATCTGTCATCGGTATTTTGATGAAATCTTTTGGATACCAAGTCACAGGCAGCCTTCCTCCTAAAAAAAAAAAACAAATCTAGTAATATATAAATTAGAGTTTGTAACCCGCAATTTATTCTATTTTAATTCAATAAAATTATTTTTGGACAATTCTTTCTTGTTTGTTTATATCGCAGATAAGAATTTGCTGCTACAGGTCCGACCCAAAATGCCCCCTCAACTACAAATTGGAACAGTTTGTACCCCTCCATTAATGTTCCGTCTCCAAATTCTGAGGTGGAGGTTTGATTTTTCTGTTATTACCCTAATTCGATTTAAAACCTCCAAATTAAAATCATAATTCAGTGGTTACCCTAAATTTTATTTAAAACGTCAAAAAAATTTAAAATCCCCAAATTCAAAGTCAAAACCATCTTTCATCTTCCCAAATCAAAATACATCTTCTCCAATTAATATACATCCTTAAACTCTACGCTCACATTACTAATATGAAGAATATAATTACATTTACAGATTGCCGACGCCATTGAAGATAAAAAAATAACCAGAGATACAAATCGAAACAATTTGGGGAAAATCAAACACATAATTTGTAAATTCTAGAAAAGAATTCGTGACCGGAATTGATGAAATCAGAAATAAAGATTTTCGAAAACGAAAATTATCAATGTGATACCATACTGAACTCAAGAACATAGAGAGAATAAATGAATTCAGGGTCCATTTGGATGGAGGGATTTGGGGAGGGATTTGATTTGGGGAATGGATTTGAAATGACTCAAATTTTGGAGTCATTTGAAATCCATCACTAATGTTCCAAAATCAACTAAAAAGGAGGGGTGGGGATTTGAAATCCATCTCCAAATCCCTCAATCCAAACAAGTCCGAGGGATTTGTTATTATGAATTTGAAATCCCTCCCCCAAATCCCTCCATCCAAATGCACCCTCATATTATTGTAATCTGAAGAATTGAATTACATTTACAAAGAATAAGAATATATATAGTTATATACACTCTCAGCTCGTTATTCTACTTCACTAAATGTCTAATTAATTTTAAAACTAAACAAGGAAAAGTCCTAAATACACGTTTTCATAAAATACAAAATATGAAAATACAATTATATTTGATACAACCCAACTGTTTTTTTTTTAAGATTTTAACAGAAAAATGTAATGATGTCATTATTTTTGGCAGTTATTAATGTCGACTAAGTTAGGAAAGGGTACAAACTGTCCCAGTTTGTAATTAAGGGAGCATTTTGGGTCGAATCCTATAGTCCAGGGGATTAAGTGTACTTACCCCTAAAAAATTGATAATATTTCAAGCAGCCCATAAAATTACAATTATAAATTTGACACCCTTAATTTATTTTATTACTTTGACGCCCACACTAATTTAAATAAATTATAATGATACAAGTCGTAAGAAAAGGTAGAATATTCGACTACAATCAAAATGATTAATATATAGAATAGTTAGAAGTGTATAACTACAATTAACTTGGAGAGATTAACTAGAATAGTTAATCATTAACTTAATTTAACTTCAATTTGATCTCAAATTTCATAAATCATTCAATTTTGACCCAAAACTCTTTTTTTTCAATTTTTTTTTCTTTCTGTAACATTTTTTTCGTTTAAACAACAATATTGTTGTGATCGACAGTAATATTAACTATATTACTGTTAAACACAGTAAAATTAACTAAACGACAGTTTAACACAATAATATTGCTATATTAATCTCTAGCACATTAATATTAACACAACAAAACTCATTATTATTGTGTAATAGAGTAATATTACTATGTTGACCGTTCAACAAATGTAAACAAAATAAAAAGCCAAAAGAATTAATATTACTGTGAGTGACAGTAATATTAGTATAACAACAATAATATTACCGTCAACCACAGTAATATTACAATAATAAATAGTAATATTATTACGTTACTCCGTGAATAACTCAAACAAACAAAAAAATCCAAACAAAATAATAATATTAATGTGGTTAACAACAATACTACTATAACAACAGTAATATTACCGGCAACCACAGTAATATTATTGTGTTTACAATAATATTACAATAATAAACAGTAATATTATTACGTTACTCCGTGAATAACTCAAACAAAACAAAAACCCCAAAACAAAAATAATATTGATGTTGTTAATAGTAATATTATTGTGTTTACAGTTATTTTACTGTCGGCGACAGTAATATAATTACGTTGACTTGTCAACAAATCAAACAAAATAAAAAAAAATAACAAAAAAAAAAAATAATAATATTACATTAATTTACTGTCAACGGCAACACAATTACATCAATGTATTGTCAACGGCAGTACAATTACGTTAAGTAACTGTCATTAGAGTATAATTATCTTAATTTACTGTCAGTGACAGCACAATTACGGTCAACGTTTAGCGGCGGACGTAAAAAAAAAAAAAAAAAAACAAAAAAAAAAAAAACTCCTAAATACTCTAAAAAAAGTCAATGTCGGAGACCGCCGGAAACCGGCGAAAAAATCCAAAAGAAAGAAAAAAAACTCGAAAGTCAACCCCGGAATCCGGCAGCAAAAAAAAATATTTTGAAAAAAAAATTGACAAAAAAAAAGTCAAAATCGAATTTTTGTGGTCAAAATCGGATTTTTGTGAAAAAAAAATTATTAAATTGGGGTTACAATTAAGAATTGGATATAAAGGGTTGGGGGTAATATTGGCATATACATGAATGTTTCCTTTATTTATAATAAATATTAAAGGGATGAACTTATTGGTGAAACAAACATATATTGCCCCTAAACCTAGAATAATAAAGATACTTGGTAGGGGACTTATGCACAAAAACTCTATATAAAAATACAATTATATATGATACAGAACAAGGCCCCAACTGTTGTGTTTTTTTTTTTTTTATGATTTTAACAGAAAAATGTAACGTTGTCATTATTTTTGAGAAATTTTAACAGAAAAATGTAATGTTGTCATTATTTTTTGGCAGTTATTAACATCAAATGAGTATGTAATTTTACTATTGAACAGATGTGCAAGTGAACTCAAAACTTATTCTTATTCAACATTTATTTATATATAGAGTTTAACTACAATTAACTAACAATTCAAAAGAATTGAGAATTTTTTTTACTAAACATTTGGGTTGACAGCATAGGATACTCTTGATCTCCGACAACCAAATATTGCAGCCCTGAATCATCAATCAACATTGTTCCATCTTCACTAGCTGTACTAAAGTGCTCGCATGGATTTATTTCAAATTCAACATTAGCCTTTTCGTCTGCATTCAACTTCAATGTCTGAAATCCAACCAACTGTTTCACGGGACTACCTTTAACCGCTTTATCCCGTCTTAGAAATAATAGAACCGGATGCTTACCGGCCATACGCCCATCATTTTCAACACTGACAATAACTAGAAACTTTGCCCTCTCACATAATTCCGAGCCAATATTAGAAACTAGTATATTGCCCAAGTTTTTAAGCTTGCTTTCACTAACTGAAACAAATTTGTAAGAATAGGTTGAGTAGCTAAGACCATAGCCAAATTCATAAACTTTTTCACCTTGATAAAATTTGTATGTTCGTCCAGGATATCCAGACGAAGGATCGGGCCTCATTCTCATATCAGTCATTGGTATTTTGATGAAATCTTTTGGATACCATGTCACAGGTAGCCTTCCTCCTGAAGAAAATAAAAAAAAAAATCTAGTAATACATACATTTTAGGGTAAGTTACAACCACCTCCTAAAGTATGGACAATATACGAAAAAACCCCTATTGTTTGGTGTTAAGTGTATATTTTTACACTTTATCGTATCTTTTTATTTGAGCTTTTGGTGTGTTTTAACGATAATTGGTGCTTAAAAAGTTGATTTGTATTTAGGTCCATTTGAGATTGCCAACTTGCGTCAACTGCATTTG